ATAGGTTTATTGTCCACAAGTGGGAATATGAATGGCTGTCTATCTCTCTATGTTATGTATACCTTGCTTCTCATCCTATGACTGCTAGGAGAAGCTCTAGCGCCCATGTGACCCTGAAATGGATAAGTAGAAAAAAATGGATGGCGGAGTGAAATAGTTTTTAGATCAAAGTAAAAAAATGTGTATTTTAACAATTCTCGACTACAGAAGCAAACTTTAAGAAGAGGTACTTAATTAACGTATTACATAAATATTGATCACCAATTACCAACTGATCACCAATGGGTGTGACCGCTGGAGTATTATCAGGGTTGTGATTCACATTTATCCCAGCTACCATAGAGGGAGAGGCAGGGTACACCCTGGACCTTTTAGACAACACAGACAGACCGGCAACCATTCGCGCTCACATTCACAGCTATGGGCAATTTAGAATCACCAATTAACCTAACCCCACTCCCTGCATGTCTTTGGACTGTGGGAGGAAGCCGGAGAACCCGGAGAGACACCCACGCAAATATAAGGAGAACATGCAAACTCCAATCAAACCCAGGACCTTCTTGCTGTGAGGCAACAACGCCACCGTGCTGACATTGTTTGACAACTCCTTCATTAAAAAAAGCAAAAAATGCTTTTATTGTGGCAGGGTCATTTTAATGCAGTTATTTTATATATAAGGCCTTGAAACAGCTTTGCATTTTATTGTTCACACAAAATATATTATGACTTGAGGTGGCAAAACTGAGTTCTTTTTTTAAAATACACACTCAAAGAATCTGCTAACAATCTTTTTACCTGCTGTTATATTTTAGGTCCTATTTTATAGCAACTTCAAAAGGTGCAACTTTTACTTTGAAGGCAAAATGTCAAGGAAGGAAAACTTTAGAGTGACCATTTTCCTCAAGCTACTGGTTGTGATTAAAAAAAAAAAAAATACAATCTTAGTATAATACATAAAATCTCTGTTTGCATGTTTGTTTCTTTGGCCACCAACTCGTCCTACACAATCAGGAGTTGAGCCACCAAACTTGGCGCACAGGTAAAAATTAGGCCCCTGAGGTTTTAATCAATAGCAGAAATAATGCTTCATCGTGTTGCCTAGCAACTACCCAGCAGCACGGGTAAAATGTTGCTGGGTAGTTTTTCACATTTATGCACCTAGAATAATTTGTAAAAACATGACATTATTTTTATTTTACCACAAATTACCACATTTATATCCATAAAGGGTGAATTATAAATTGTACAGTGTCATGTTGCCTGGCAACCACCTAGCAATGAGCTAAAATTACCTATTTCTTTTTACATTTATGCACCAAAAAAACCTTATAAATGCATTTTAATCATTTAAATCTTAGGCCACAAGCAGGCCAAACAATACTGAAAGGTTGCTTTCACCAGGGTCACAGCGGTATGCCAGTTTCAAGGCATAACAATAGACAATAAAAAAGATGGCTGTAGCCACTGAGATGCCACTGACTGCTAATCGAAGTCCCATATTGTACAACTTTCCATAGGTGATGTAAACTACATGTGCATGTGCATTCATCACAGCACATTATTTACCCTTGCGTGCCACGCTCCGCACCAGGGATCGGTATGAGGGTGGAACACTTGTCGTTTCTCTGGTTAACATTTTCACATCCATCCTCATCAGACAAATCATCACAGTCTGACTCTCCATTACATTGAAGCGAACGGCTGATGCAACGCCCTAGAAACAAAGTAAGTAAGGACGAACATTTATCAGAATTGACTTCCTGACACACAAATGCTTGCAGCAGGCCATGCATGTTAGTGAAAAGACATAGAGAAATCACCTTCAGCATTTGTTGCCTGAATGGTCGTAGATGGTCCTTACCTGTTTCTTTGCAGGTGAAGCTCTCTTCGCAGTAATCTGGGACCAGACACGGCGTGGTTGACGTGGGACACATCTCCCTCCTCCAGAGTATATCAGTACACTCAGTCCCACCAAACTGTGAAGGTTTCTCTAAGTATCGGAAACTGAACTAAAACCAAGTTCAAAATGAGTTAAATTCTCTGAATTCATCCATTCATGCTCATAGTAGAAGAATCGTACAACATTTGATATTTATTGATGAGTTATAAAGTTATAATAAAGCTTCCAGGAACATCGGGGACAGAGTACAGCCACGGCCCACTTTATTGACTCTCCTGATGTGATCTGAGTTACTTTGCAAAACAAACTGTGAAATGTCAGTGTTTGGAAGAAAGTTGCAGTAGCAAAGTATTGCACAAGCCAGCCATACCAAACACTGTGAACAACATTAATCATATTTAAATGTTTAGTGAAAAAAAGCATAATCACCTTTCTGTCTGTGCAGGAGTCACATGGTGTCCAAGATGACCAGCTCCCCAGTCTACAGTCAATAGGTGTCGGTTTGTTCACAGCTCTGGCCCTCCTGACCCACATAATTATTATTATTATCTTAGTTCCATTTGTAAATCCCATTGTGCATGGAATATGATAAATAAAAGCTATTAAGGTGTAAATGCAAGATGTGGTGAGGTGAAAAATGCTGTACCTGTTTTTAGCTGTTGTCCATGGCGTCCTGGATGCGTCAACAATTGTGTCAGAACTGACAAACAGATGCAGTGTGCATAAACCAAGGAGTAAACGAAGGAATGTCCCCATAGTGAAAATAAACAGCGATTCCTAAAGACTCAGAGCCACATTGCAAATCCGATATTGTGATCCTGAAGGGGTCCTGAGGGGACTCTTGACACTGTTGTCTTGATCAGTCACAGTAAATGATTGATCAAGAGTAAACACATGCGATTACAACAGTTAGGAAAGTTTTTCTATCTTTTTTTAAAATCATCTATTACGAACTTTTTCTATGACATACTTTACAAATGTGAAACTGAACCTTCACTGTGTGCAAAGTTGATATCCATTTATTTAAATTATGATATGTAATGAAATTTTCCGACACCTCACCGAATTTCATGAGTCTTCTTGGAGAGGTGAGAGGTTGATATGGACAAAAGAAGAAGAGTTAAAATTAAAAACTGTAAGTGGAAAATTAGTTATCATTATCAAAATAAATCCCTATCCACACACGTTGCGCCTTCGACGCTCCTGATTCGTTGATCAAGGAAACGTGAACGCGCACGTAGGTCGAGTGCAGCACGCAGGTGCGTCATTCAGCGGCTCTTTCAAATTGTTTGTTTTAGCCTTCACCGTGATTAACCAGAGCTGTTAGGTCGCTGTTTAAAAAAAATAAAGTAAACAGCGTCTCGGTATTAAAATTGAAACCGTCTTTCAAATGCTCGGTCCTTAACAGTGATGACAGACAGAAGCTACAATGGAAGAGGTAAAGTTACAAGGCTTTTATAGCAGGTTTAATTAGCTAAAGGGCAGTTGAATAGAAAGCTAATTTACTTGTATTGCTTTTCTTTATGCTAATGTGCTGCTGCTGCTTTACTCTTTCTAACACATGAGTATGGCTTTCTTAAATAACTGATAGAACGGAGTAAAAAATACTTTTGAAATAACAAATCATCATTTTTACGACCAACCCAGTTAAATATATGAAAGTCGTTTAGTGATAGCAGTTTTTCTTTTGATCGCTTTTGAGAAACATGGATGTCTTAAACTTTCTACATCTATTATTGATTAAAACAATATATGAAGGCTTGATCTGTTCAGTAGCATCTTAATTAACCAACAAACACTTGGGTTTTAATTGACCAGCGACTTGTGAAAAGAAAAGCCTTGTAATTACCAAAAGGGTGTAGTTTTGGTAATTAGAAAGAAAGCTTAAACCAGAGACGTTAAATTTAGGTGAGCGGATTATTACTTTAAACTCTGCAGTTAGAAAAATAGTTTTAAAGTACCAAAAAAAAGGTACCTTCACGTGTCATTTGTATGATTGGTAGGTAAGGTAGGATTGGAAACTTAGAAAGTTTATTTTCATTCCTGTTTCTCAGCATATGCAAACATTACCTATTGAATTTTGTTGGACAGATGGAATGTAAAATTATTTCTGTATCACTTTCAGGGGAGTAAGTGAGGAAAATACGTATTTTGTCATTTTTGTAGGCTTATCTCTTTACCCCTTGAATGCCAAGCAGCAACTATTGAAGCTTTTTTTTTTCTAAACTGAGCAGTTTCTGTCATATTTTGGGCCTGCTTATAGAAACAATGACTGGGTTTGTACCAGAGGTTAGTGAGGGTGGTCTCTGCTCATGTAGCTGTCCTTGGAAAAAGACAAACACTTCTAATGGTTGTCACACCACGTCTTTATGGATATATACTGAGGTGTCAGCGCTCGTCATTAAGGGTTCAGAGGAAGGAATCAAACCTTGTCTTTATGAGGGAAAAGAGTTAAACTGACCATATAACATCCCTTATACTTCTGTGCTTTCTTTTACTTACGTTTTTTTTTTCCCAGGAGGGACCAATCAACTTCAAAGCACTGAGGGCCAAATTTCAGGAAGAGGCTCTCCTGGCTCAATCCAAAACCAGCCGTCCAGCTGTTGCTGAAAAACCCAAACAGATTCTTCCACCTGGAGGTCACTGCACTGTGGTTAGCAGTATTAATACTGCTGCAGAAAACAAGACACCAGCGCTTCCTCGTGTCATTTTCAGAGATGCACTGCGACTGTCTGGAGGCAAGAGGCCGATTTCCTTTCCGCTGCAACCTCAGCGGACCTCCCTGTCATCACAGCTTACTAATGGAGACGGCACAGCAAGGCATTCTCGATACATGCCCCTGGTGCTTCCTGTCCTGCCTGCAAAAGATCAGAAGACAGAAACACCAGTCAGGAGAGAGTACAAACCCGAACCAGAATCGGGGAAGGAAGCCTTGCCACAAACTAAAATCAAGAAGAAAGCTTTGCTGCTTCCATTCAAATCAGTCAAAGCATCAAAGGTCAGTGCGGAAAGCGGAGAGGAGCCCACATATGGTGATTTGACCACCAGACCGTGTAGCGCTCCTGGTGAGTTGCCATCAGTGGAAAAACAAACCACAGAGGATGGGGCTTCACTCCAAAGTGACCAATCAAACAGTGAATGCCCCCTCTCCAGTCCAGATGTCCCAGTCACCCCTCCTTCAGCAGAGACCACAGTCGATTCTGACAATAAAATTATGAGCACTTTGGAGAGGGCCAAGAAGAAATTCTCACGCCGAAACATGTTGATCTCTTCCAAACCCAAGAGCTTGCATTCCCCTGACAACACAGGCAAGGAGTTCAGTCCACCACTGAGGACCGCTGACCTGCCCACCCCCCCACCAGTGTGTCTTTCACATCTGGCTTGTATCTCAGCCCGGCCTTTCTTCAAAACCAACAACACTTTATGCAGTAAGCTATATGCAGAGTGTCAAGAGTGACAAATGTCAAAATCTGCAGTTTCATCATGTGTGTTAATGTTATAACATAAATTATTATATACATTGCTAATACTCTTCATATTTGATGCTTTTTCCCCTCAAGAATCAGCACTGGATAAGCAGCTTGGCAGAGAGAAATCTGAGAATCTGCCAGTGAAGACTGTTGAACTTCATCCACCATGTGTCCCACTAAAGAAGCCTCTGCCTGATCTGAGAACACTGGGGCCAGTGCCGGCAAAGCCCCTCAGACCTCCATTAGTAGATCTCAGCTATTACCATGCGCCTCTGTTTACTGGTATGAAAGTCTCAGCAAGTCTACAGACATGGCCACTGGGAGCAATAGCAGAGGATAGATTTGCGTTAAAAACCTATTAGCAAATGTCAGCGAAGGTTAGCTGATGCGTTTTAGCAAATTCTGTCCTCCTCTTGCTGTCACATAGACAGTTTACCTGCATCTCAAACTGCACATTAGGTGTCGGAAGAATTGGCCAAATTACTTGGGCTGCGATCAGTCATATTAGAAAACATAGGTGACAACGAAAGGTTTCTTGATCTTAAGAAAAACCTGATTAATGTTGGAAAAATAGGAAAAATGTATGTTTTATTTTATTTTAGGTTTTAACATCAGCTGCTGTCTATATAGCGTCAGTTAGAATGATTATTTATTAGCAGTACTCCTAATAACATCTCAGGTTAAACAGATGCATGTTGGAAAGGGCTATCAGTCTGTTTATAGACATTAATGTTTCATTTCTTCGTCTTTTCCCTCTTTTTGCATCTTCAGTTCTGTGACCACAGTTCATGTGCTTAGTCATCAGTGACTTAGCATTATCCTCTCTGCAGTTCACATTATTCCTCTTTTTGTGGTGAGGCCTAACATCTGTTCAAATACTGCTTTTACTTTCTTATTATAGTGGTGTCACCGAACGTTAGCCAAGCAGAGTCTGAGCACCCACCCGTCTCCAACCCTCTGCTGGATGCCCCAGAGTTTCCAGACTTTGAAAATACAGAGATGGAAACAGCAGAAAGTGGAGGTGTTGATGTTGCTGCACTAGAACTGGAGGCCTTAGACTTAGTCAGCGCTAACCCTCACACAGCTGTCGACGCTGAGCATCCACAAGCTGACTTGTCAGCGCATGATCCTGCGGGGCCCAGTGTGAGCTCCATCATCCAAGATCTGAACCTTGGCAGTGAAAACATAATACCCCTTGATCCAGCCAGCTTCCCTGAACCAATAAACTTGTTAGAGTTCCCAGAGCCTGCTATACCACAGCAGTGGTCCCAGAGCAAAGAGGTGCTTGTCGATTCTTTTCCTAAATCTCCGTCTGATGAAACTGATGTGGGAGTTGCTGAGTGTCAGTCTTTCCCAGAGGAAAGAGAGCTTAGTAGCCACTCGTGGTAAGTTTTATAGTAACTGGAATCAGTTTTTTTCTTCTTCTTCTTCATATAACAGTGTGCTGTTTATACATTCCCCTTACAGTGGACATCAACAGGACAGTTACTATGAAACATATACTAACATATATGAAGATGTTGAGAATATGAACAAATTCACTTTGAGCCAAAACTCCACTAAAAGAAAAGGCGGACTGAAGAGTAAGTACTTCACACACATTTTATTCTTAAAATAAAACCATTTGCAGACATTTATTCTCATTTATAATCACTGTTTGTTTTTGTTTTGTACAGATCCATACGCGGACCACCAGCCAAAGGTAACTCATTTTTAAATCAGAGTATATAATTATCTTAGCAACTTTAAAAAGTGTATTTTAGTGTGTTTTTTGTATCTAGTGTTGTCTTTTTTGGGTTTTTTCTCAAAAGGAGTCATCATGTGTTAAAAGGCAAAAGAATCCATGGTATGCTTTTTCTTTTTTCCCTTCCTTCATTCCCTCCTTCCCTTCTCGTAAACGTAATACCTTTGTTCTGTCATTGACACTGTGACATCCATTCCCTTCCTATGGTTATCAAACTGCAGGGTTTGTGTATCGGGTGAACATTTGGCACATAATCATATGCACAGGTATGTCAGACATGTAAATCTTTTTACAGAACATGTGATTTAAAAAAAACAACCAAGAAAAACAAACAAGCTGCTCGTATACCTAACCCCTTTTTTCACATTTTTCTTAGCATGATGAACACTCCCAACCCCGCTGACCATAAAGAACAGAAGAAGCGGGAGAAACAACGATTGGAAAAGGAAAAAAAGGAGCAAAAAGAGAGGGAGAAGAAGGAAAATGAAATGAAAAAGAAGTTCAAAGTAAGGGGGGGTGATTTGTTTTGAGATGATGACTATTGATTTTAGTTTCCTTTGGTTACTGTTTATTCAGCTTTTCTAAGTCATCAGTTGGCAAATGTTACTTCCTGAATTTTTAGTTGTTTTTTTTAATAAAACTTCAAACATGGAATCAATGCAGCATCTCTTCAAAGATGTAAAACACAAAAATGTTTTACTTTTTTTGCTGCTTAGGTGTTTGTAAGACAGTGCAGCTCATTGCTAAGATGTGACTCTTATAATGTATAACAGATGGATGTGGCTTTACGGTCTGAAAAAGTACCATATACCTTTCTTTCTAATAGCCAGCAGAGGGTGACACCTCTGTTTTTTGGAAATAAAAAAAAAATCCTTTCATGTATAACCTCAGTAAATGTGTTCCTGATGTGATCAATTTCACTAACTAGAAGTCTAATTTCAAGTCTTTATGAGTACA